CGGATCGACGCGGCGCCGCCTGCTTGCCGCCTGCCAGGCTAGGCGCGCCCGCCGCTTTTGGCAGCCCCGCCCCCCGCCCCCCCCGCTGCCGCTCGGCCTGGCCTGCCTGACCGTGCACCCATTGACCGGCAGCCGGGCCTACCGTAGTTGGGAACTGGGCGCGCTCCCGTCCGCGTTCCGACCATCTCTGCACCACCTTGATTCCCTGCTCTCAACGTCCGGATACAGAAGCGTACCACCCAACACGACGACGGAGCGGCTGCCATCAGGTGTGGCCATGGCCAGGCTCACTGAGAGCTTGAGCCGGCAGACGGCAGCTACAATACACGCTCAACAGCAGGCAGGCTGCGTGGTGGCCACCCCAGCATTACGGCACGACGGCGGCCCGCGCGGGCCGTGACAGGCAGGCCACTCACCGACGCACATGCGGGCTTCACCCTTCTGCGTGCATGCCAGACCAGGCAGGCCAGACCAGGCCTCGTCTGGCGCGCACTATCAGGTGCGCAGCGCCGACGCTTTGCTGTCCTCGTCGCTCGCCCCCTCTCCACACCCTCACGCACCGACGCACGTTGCCAGACCTGCCTGCTTCCTCGAACGCCGCCGCCGCCGCCGTCGCCATCGCCTTGCTTGCCGTCGCATCGTCAGAGTTTGCCCGTGCTGCCGCCCGCCGATCTGACAGCAAGGCAAAGCGGCCAGCCCCGAACCACGCCCGGGCGTGCCGTAACGTCTCCATTCGCCGTCGAGACGCTGCACGCCCCACCAGCCTGTCACTCTGCCTGACAGAAGACACACCGCTGACCATCGTCGAGAGTAGTACAGTACTTATGTAGCCACCGGCCCGCCTGCGTGGCCTGGCAGCGCGCCAACATCTCGGTCCAGCTACCTTACGGTACTGGCCCTTGCTTCACCTTGCCGTGGGCATGCCGAGGCGTGCCACGCCATCGCATCGCATCTCTCAGCTCCGAATGGAGGGCTGCATCTCGCTAAGACCCTCGTCCCAACGTGCTCGCTTGGCCGGGGCTTCTAGAGACAGATCCGGCACCAACCCCGCTCGCCCTCGACTTCGCTCCACCCGCCCTCGTCCCCCCTCTCTTTCGACGACGACAGACGGGATCCTGGCAGTCCTTGCCCCGCACCGAGGCCAGAACAAGGTTGGCGGTGTGGGAGAAAAGCAGCAGGCTCGGTCGATCTCTTCCTTGGCTTGGACGATCAGCACCGGCAGCAGGGCAGCTCGGACAAGGCTTCGCCGTCGTCGCCGTCGCCGTCGCCGTCGCCGCATGGCTGCGATGGCCGCCAGGTCGACCGACCCTTGTCGACTCGAATGGGTCAGCTGGTGCGATAGGCAAGGACTATGGTGCCGGACCGGGTTTGGCTTGGCCGGAGAGCAAGCCACCAGGCTCAACCTCTCTGACGCCTTCGTCTAGGCCTGGCCCCGTATCCCCGGGTCGTGCTCGACAACGTAGAACGCATTCGGCGAGGCGCGCTGCGTATAAAGACGCTCCGTACCGCCCCTCTGGAATGCTGCCCGTATCCATCCAAGCTTCCCCTCCCTCTCCCCCTCCTCCCCTCTGCACGCCTCATACCTCTTCCTGTCCCCTCCTGCCGGGCCCTTTGTGTGTACGTGTCCGCCCGCCCGCCCGCTTCTCTAGCCCTCCCAGGAGAGGACGCATGATGCCTCGTCAAGCTCTGTGTCGGCTATCAACTGACACCGAGACCTTTGGTCTGATGCTGATCCTTGTCTCGCTTGCACCTGTCATTCACTGCTCCCATATCATTCCCTCGTCCCTCCTCATCCCTCGTCATCAGCAGCAACACCACCACCACCACCACCACCACCACCATCGACCCCTTTCGCTCCACCCCTCTCCCCCCAGATCACGATGAAGTGGGCTACCCTTACCCTCATGGCCACCCTGGCCTCGGTTGCCTCGGCCGGCCCGCTGGCTCCCCGCAGCGACCTGCCCCCGGCGGTCCTCAAGAGCTCCGACGCCGCCATCTTTAGCGAGCGCCGCGACAACACCGCCTCGCCCACGGCCCTCAGCAACTACAAGCAGTACCAGCTGCCCGCCCAGCTGGCGCAGGGCGCCTACTGCAACCTGCCCGTCGGCGGCAGCATCGCCGACCTCAAGATCCTCTGGACGGCGGGCGACGGCAACGACATCCCCTTTGTCTACGTCGGCTACTCGCCCTCCAAGGGCATCGTCGTCTCGCACCAGGGCACCAACACCAAGTCGTTTGCCAGCATCCTCAACGACGTCGACTTTTTCCTCGACCCGACCGACTCGCGCCTGAGCTTCCTGGGCAGCGACGTCAAGATCCACGGCGGCTTCCAGGACACCTGGAAGGCCACGGCCGACCAGGTGCTGGCCCAGGTCAAGGCGGCGCGCACAAAGTACCCCAACGCCGGCGTCTTTACGACGGGCCACTCGCTCGGCGCCGCCATCTCGCTCCTCGACGCCCTCTACCTCAAGAACAAGCTGCCGGGCGTCTCGGTCACCTCGGCCACGTTTGGACTGCCGCGCACGGGCAACCCAGAGTTCGCCAACGCCGTCGACGGCTACCTGCCCGGCTTTGTCCACATCAACAACGGCCGCGACCCCGTGCCGCGGCTGCCCGGCGGCGGTCTGGGATTCCAGCAGGTCAGCGGCGAGATCTGGATCAACCCGGCCAACGGCCTCAGCGCCGTCAGCTGCCCCGGGCAGGAGAACAGGAACTGCATCCTCAGCGTCAACCCGCTCACCTTTGAGGTCGACGACCACACCGGCACCTACTTCAAGGTCCGCATCGCCGGCCGTGGCGCCAACTGCCCGCCCGTCATCTCGGCCTAGACCAAAGCCTCGCCCATCGTGGTGAGATGACCTTGATGGTCATTCGCCCGCCCGCTCGCCCGCCCGCTCTCTGGAGGCAGAGAGAGGGAGCTAGAGACAGAGATAGAGATAGAGTCATCCAGGGGGGATGACGAAAAACGGACTGGAGCAGGGACACGCCTCGCTGCGGCACGCTACATGGCGTTCCGTGTCGTCGCGCGGCTGTCGGTCCCGCCCGGCCTCGCAATCACACACGCTCCTTTCTTCCTCCTCGACCCAACCCACCCCCACCCTGTCACCCTTTTCTCCGACATCGATACCCCACCCACCCTTCCCCCTCCTTGCCTCGCACGGATCCCCTTTATGTCATCCACAATCAAAGCATGTCTTCACTGTTGCCTTCCTTGCCTCTTCGTATACGACCTTTCACGCAAGGAATCCTAACCTCTCTGTTCACCTGGCCCACGTTCCGGTCACTTCGTCCTGATACGCGAGCACGTCATGACTTGACGTCGACCTTCTCAGAGGTCGAGAGTGGTGGAAGCGAAGCGGGGCGAGCAGCATGGCTGATGGTGGGATACGGGGATAGGCTACACGGGCAGGCAGCGTCGCAACTGGTCCGATGGCAAGGCCCAACTCGAGGGAGAGGCAGACGAGAGCGGGGCAAAGTAGAGGGCGGCGTCTCACCACCTCGGACGCTCATCGCCGTGTCGGTACCGGTCCTCCCGCGTCGGGACGGGTTCGCGCCGCTCGCGGTACCCATCGTCGTGCCCGGATCGCCCTCCTCCCCCACGACCGCCGCCGCTGCTGATGTAGGAGTAGTCGTCGCCGCCACCGCTGCGGTACGAGCGGTCGCGGTCGCCGCGGTACTTCGCGCCGTCGTCGTCGTCTCGTCCCCTCTCCCTCTCCCTCTCCCTCGTGCGCTCGTCGTTCCGCGAGGGCCAGTCCCGCCGCCTGTCCCTGTCTCCCTCCCTGTCTCTGTCCCTGTCCCTGCTCCTGTCCCTATCTCGGTGTCTGTCCCTGTCCCTGTCCCTGTCTCGTTCCCTATCCCGATCTCCGCCTCTGGTCCGCTCCCTCTCCCGCTCCCGCTCCCGATCCCTGCCCCAGTCCCTCTCTCTTCGGTCTCCGTTCCACTCAACCCTGTCCCTGTCGCCGCCCCTGTCGCCACCCCTGTCGCCGCCCCTGTCCCAGCCGCGGTCCCAGCCGCCCCGATACGAGCGGTCGTCTCTTGGCCCAGGACGGGAGCTGTCCCCCTGCCTTTCCCATCCTCGCCCTTCGTCCCTTTCACCGCGGCCAAACTCGCGCCGCGATGCCTGCCAACCGTCGTGCCTCGCGGGCCTGGCACCACCGTCTCTTCGATCCGGGAAGCCCTCCATGCGGCGGCCCGGTCCGCCATCGCCGCTATACCTGTCGCCCCTGGGTCGCCAATGTCCGTTGCTGGGCGCGGCGCCGCCCGCTGCCAACGAACGCGCCGCCGCAGGCACGGGCGGAGGAGGTCCAGGCGGCCTCTTCTTTGACTGTGTCTCGACCTTTGGCTCGTCCAGGGTGAATATGAAGCCGGGAGCAGCTCTGTCGCCGCTCGCTAACTCCGTTGCCTCGGCCGCGGCGCTGTCCTCCTCGGTCTCGGCGTTTGCGACGTAGAGGCACAGACGGCGCCGACCATCGTGCCATGCTGCCTCTTCTTGAGCGATCAGCGAGCGCACTAGTCCCGGCGGCAGATAGCGGACTGTCACCGGGCGGCTGGCGTCCTCGGGGAAAGGCTTCGAGTCGATTTCGTCGTGCGCCTCCTTCGCAGCGTCCAGCGTCTCGAACTGCGGATGTGAAAAGGGCAAGCAGTCCAGGTCAGTCGAGGAACTTCGACAAGGTACGCCGGTCAGGCCGCACATCTCAAGAGGGCCACTCACCGTGACATAGGCGTGCGTCTTGATGCCATCCAGCCAAAGACCGTCGTATCGGACGGCCTGCGCCGCTTCGAGATCATGCTCTGCGGCATCTGGTGTCGTGTCGGCGGGAGCATCAGACAGCTGCCCGAACTCCTCGAGGCGGGCGCGCACCTGCGCCACGACGAGCGGGCGGACGAGGTTGGCGATGTAGAGCGAACGAGTGGGCGGATGCCTTGCCGCTCCCTCAGCTGCCACCTCGTGTCGAGTTGTAGCATGTCTCGGCTCCAACTCGTGCTCTGCTCGCCCAGCCTCGCGGCTGGGCGCGATGGCGCTGATGCGGTCCGACAGACTCCCTTGGACATCGGTTTCCGGTTGCGTTTTGGCGGCCTTGGCCTCGGGCAGCGCTGCGTCGTCTTCGGCCTTGCGTTTGTTGTTGGTCTCCATCGGGACGGACTCTTCCATCGCAGCTCTGACCTCGTTCTCCTTGTCCTTGGGCAGGGTATCGGGCACCACCGCCTCTATTCCGGCGGCATGGGCGTCGTGGATGGCGCCGAGCATGGACTTGCCCTCCAGCTCGCCGTCGACGCCGAGGGCGACGTCCATCTTGTCACCTTCCCTCTTGAGCGCCTGCTTGTGCGCCTCCAGCAACTCCTTTTCGACGTTCGACGGCGAAGCTGCCTGCTGCGCCATCGACTCGGCGGCTTCCGACTTTTCGACGATGGATTCAGCCAGCGCCGTGTCCTTGACGGCCTGCGATGCGGATGGGTGTGGCTGTGGCGAAACCTGGCCGGGCAGGGCGGAGAGCGCCGGTTCGGCCTTTTCCTTGTCGCTGCTAGCCTCATCTGTCGTTTTGGCCTGCTGATCTGCGTCGTTGATCGCGGCGGCGTCTGCTCCTGCTGCCTCTGGTTCTGCGACTGGCGCCGTCGACCCTTGATCGGTCAGCGCCTTGGTGGGCGCCTCGGTAGGTGACTCGTCGTTGGCATCCTCTTGCTGCTCTTGCTGAACATGTTGGCTTTCGAGATGCTCGGTCAGCCTGGCGGCCAATTCGGCCTTGAGGCCGGCGGTGGAGAGGCCGCGGGAAGCGAGCTCGGCGCGGAGCTGTACGACCTTGAGCTTTGGCACATCGAGCGAGCTCATGGCGTGTCGAGCTTGTGGCCTCTGTGTCGCGCGGGTTGCGGTTGCGGCGGAGGGGAAGATGCGGGTGTGGGAAGGGTGGATGGAAGAAGGGAGACAAGTCGGGAGGAGGCGAAGAGGCTGCAGCAAGAAGGCCGAGCCAGGGCCAGCCAGCCAGCCGTGCCAAGGCATGTGGAGAAGCGCGCCTCGAGCGTGGGCCTGCCAGACGCGCCATCGACGCCTTCGGACCACGTCGTCCGGGGTCCTAGGCATCATCCGCCTCGAAACCTAGCCTGCAAGTCTCGCTGGTCATCGGGCGCTTCGCGCAGCACATCAAGCAAGACGCAGCGTGGTCAAAAGGGCTAGACCGGGTCTACAAGTACAGATGGCATGCACAGAGGCGCCTGCCAGGCGGGGTATCATCGCATTGGGCATCATCGAGCCAGCAGCGCAGCTCACACCATCGACGTCAAAAGGCGCTCAGCACCTCTTGCACCATCAACGGCACGTCGTTGGCCTCCTGCAGCGCACGCAGTCGAGACGCTGCCGCTTCGCTCAGCTCGACCTCCTCGTCCTTGTCGGTTCGGATCTGTTCAGCGGGCGGGGGCAAGGTCACACGTGGCACACGACAGGTCAGTCTGCACGCTCCATCCCTCGGCAACTGCCGTGTCGTCCGACGACCAACGCTCACCTCGACACCAGCCACTCGGCCTCCCACCTCCTCGAAGCGGAGCAAAATGGTCACTGTCCCCTCGGCTCCCGACGTCGACGTCTTGGACCGCCTCTTTGGACCCTTGGCACCCTTCGGCGCCTCCTCCGCTGCAGGGACGCGGTAGACGAGCTTGATCTGGTCCGCGTCGACGGCCTCAATCTGCTCGATGCCCAGCAGCGACCGCAGCAGGGCCAGGGTGGCGGTGTGGGTGGCGCACAGCTGTTCGGTCTCGAGATCCCGCCCGCCATCGCGGCCCATGCCCAGCTTGGCCTCGGCGGCATACTTTTCCGCCGTCGAGCGCTCGGCATTGAGACGGTCGAGCGACTTGAGCGACGTCACGAGCTGCTTTTTGGTCGTCTCGATCGACTGCTGCGCCTTGGTCGTCTGCTCCTCGAGCGTCGTCATTTCCTGGATCTGCGGACGGTGCGCCGTAGATCGAAAGCGACATGCAAAGCAAGAGGGAAGCGGGGTGAGTACGATGTTCCCCGTTCTCAAAGCGTCGGGACGGGGCGAACGCCCGCAAGCAACTCACCTGGGCATCGCACACCTCCTCTGCCTCTGCGGTCGTCAAGGGACCCTCTCGACCGGCAATGGCGGCGATGTTACCCTTGCCGTGGCTCTGGGCGCGAATTTTGGCCAGCTCGAGCTCCATGTCGCCGATCTCCTTGATGAGCCGCTCGGCTTCCTTGGACTCCTGTTCGACCTGCTGCCACGGCTGCACCAGCTGCTCGGCGGCCGCATCCACCTCGGCCCTGAGTGAGCGCACCAGCGACTTTGCCTCGACCAGCTGCGACTTGAGGCTCTTTGCCACTCGTTCTGGTGAGGCGACAAAAGGAGGAGAGTGCAATGATCGGATTCAGCTTTGGTCTGGCCCATGTCTCCGGCTCAGACTGGCTGGGAGGCGGGTATGCGCACCTCTTTCTGCGACGTCGGCGGCCGAGTAGACGGTGGCCTCGGTCCCCGTCTCGATGTCGTCCTGTACGTCTGCGAGGAAGCGCATCTTGGTCTCCTGCTCGAGGTAGATGAACTTGAGCTTGCGGAAGTAGTCGAGCATCATGGACTCTTCTTCGACGACGCCCTCGGGCCAGTCTTTGTAGGTGGCCCAGTCGATGTCGAGGTCGCCTTCGCCCATAATCTGGGAGAGGCTGCTGCGCCGCCGCTTGGACGGGCTCTCGAGGTCGTCTGGGCCGCCGTTGGCGCCAAAGAGGGAGCGCTTGCGATCCGACTTTGAGAGGAGCTGGTCGCGGATCGTGTGCAGCGAGAGGTGCTCTGGCGCAATCTCGAAGGCAGTCAGCGGCTCCCTTTGAGGAGACCGGGACGAGGAGATGGCCGGGCCCAGAGATGCGAGGATTCTGCAAACGGAAGGCCGAAGAGCGGGTCAGCAAAGATGGGAAGAGGCACCTGAGCGACGTGCTGGCCACCTTCGGTGGTTGGTCTGGGACAGAGGACTCACGTCTTCGTCTCGGCAATGATGGACTTGAGGTCATCCTCGTGCTGACCGTTGTCGTCTGCGGTGGCGGAAATGGTCTGGAGCGGGGCTTGAAGCGCTTCCTTTTGGTCGTCGTGGTCGTCGTCTGGCTGCGGCGGCTGTTGTGAGGCAGCACGGGGCTGCGAGCTCCTTCTCCTCGTCGATGCGCGCGTCCTTGTCTTATTCGGAGATGCTGCAGGTGGCATGGCCGGATGTGATAGCGGTGGCGATGGTGATGACGAGGGCGATGACGAGGGCGATGGGCTGTCGATGCGGTGTGATGGTGATGGTGGCGAGCGAGGATGGACCGAAGTGTTGGTCTGGGTCGCCCACATGGGCCCGCCAACAGTCGACCGCCGCCGCGTCGGGCCACGTTCACGTGACCGCGCATGGCGTTCAGGGTCCTTTGGGCGGTTGAGCCCACCCACTTGCCTCGCCCGCTTTGCTTGCCGGCCTCGATCCTTCCTGCCTTCATCTCGCTCATCCCGACCCCATCTCATCGACATCCTACCACAACGCCACGCTGCTTGTGAGATACCTGCGGACCATGCCTCGCAATCGCAGGCCGTAGCCGTTCGCACCTCCCTCCAGCCCGACCGCTTCATTCTCCTCGACCAGCATGGCCGTCGGCGCCGCCCCCCAGCATCAGGCAGCCCCTGCGGCAGACAGTGTCACCAAGCCAATCTCAATCGTGGTCCGGCTGCGGCCTTTTCTCTCCCACGATGTGCAGGACGATACCATCACCTTCCCACAGCACCAACAGCAGCAGCATCCAGCCGATCGGGCGCCGTCCGCAGAGGTCGATGCCCGCTCTGTCCTGGTCAAGAACCTGCGCGACCCATCGGTCCAATCCAAATACGACTTCGCCGCCGTACATCCGGCAGAAGACTCGCAGCAGCGAGTGTTCGACTCATCCGTCTCACCCCTCCTCCCCGACATCCTCGCCGGCAGGAACCTCACCCTCTTTGCCTATGGCGTGACCGGCAGCGGAAAGACCTGGACCATGGTCGGCCAGAGCGCGGGCGTCGACGGCGGCAGGAAGGCCAAATCGCGCTCAAAGTACTCGGACGGCGCAGAAGTGGCCGGTGAAGACGAGGGGGTCACGCCCCGCCTGGTGCGCTGGCTCATGAGCCAGAAGCAAGAGAGGGACATGATCCGCCTAGGGAAGAAGAAAAAGGCTCGCAGCAAAAAGGGCCAGGAGGAGGACGGGCGCAAGGCAACTGAACACATCAACGTCGAGCTCGAGTGCTACGAGATCTACAACGAGATGGTCTTCGACCTCCTCGTAAAGGACCGCCCGCCTAGCGGCCTGCCCGTGCGCGAAAACGGCGAGCGCAAGGTCTTTGTCGCCGGGCTCTCGTGCCAGCCCGTCAACAGCTACGCCGACTTCCTCTCCCTCTTTCAGCTGGCCAACTCGCATCGCTCCATCGGCAGCACCAACCTCAACGCCGCATCGAGCCGCAGCCACATGGTCATCTCCCTTCTGGTCCAGGTCCGCACCATCGCCGACCCGGCAGACGACTGTGGCACTACTTCGTCGACCACCGTCATCAGCCGCGTCAACCTCGTCGACCTGGCGGGCAGCGAGAACAACAAGCTGACCGGCAACAGCAAGGAGCGCCTCACCGAGTCGAGCGCCATCAACAAGAGCCTCTTTGTCCTCGGCCAGGTGGTCCAGGCGCTCAACACGGGCGCCTCCCGCATCCCTTACCGCGACTCAAAGATGACGATGATCATGCGCGACGCCCTCGGCGGCGGCGGCGGGAGCAGCGGTAGCGGCACTTCTCGTGCTCACGGCGTCCTCATCGCCAACCTCGCGCCCGGTGCCAAGTTCTACAACGATACTGTTGCCACGCTCAACTTTGCCAGCCGTACAAAGACTGTCGAGAACCGGGTCGGCGTCAACAGCCAGAGCAGCAGCGGCAACAGCAGCAGCAGCAGCGGCCATAGCTTGTCGGCTCCTCCAGCATCGAGGCTCACGGCCAGCCAGCCTGCCCCCGCCCGGCCGCTCAAACCGCTCGCCAGCGCCGCTCTCGCGAGATCCGCCTCGCAGCCCAAGCCGACGCTCGGCAAGAGCAACGGCGCGCGAGCACCGCTGACCACGAAGAATGCCAACATCATCTCCCAGCGGCCACTGCAAACGCTGACCACGGACGCCAAACCGCTCAAGCGTCCCCTCCCGCCAGCCACAGCCGCAATGAAAGCGGCACATGCTTCAGCCGAGCCGAAGAAGGCGCGAATGGACAGCGCTACCCCCGCATCGACCTCGTCCAATCTCAAGACGCCAGACTACACGGCGCTCGAAGCCCGTCTCGAGATGCTCGAGCGGCGGCTGGCTGAGCAGAGCGCATCGACGGCCCCAGAGTCGCTCAGCACATCAGCTGCGCTGCCCGATCTCCTCTCGCCAGCGACGAGGAACAAGACAGCCAGGGCCGCCGTCCTGCTGGCGCGGATGGCCGAGGAAAAGGGTGGGGTTGATGCTCTGCGAGAGGCGCTCAAGCATTACGAGCAGGCGCTCCTCTACGCTCCAAGCAACGAGAGGCTGGCCGGCAGGGTGAAGGAGTGCAAGGAGGCCCTCTCGCTCGGCATCGACCTCAAGAAGCTGAGGGCGAAGCGGAAGCGCGAGGACAAGCAGGGCCTGGGCACCGCAGGGGCGAAGGCCAAGTTGCCGAGGCACCTGGACATCGAGATGCGGATGCTCAACGCCATCGAAGGCGAGGCACCCTTGACCTTGCCTCTGCCTCCAGCAAACCAGCAGGCCCGGCAAGGCGAGTCAGGTTGTGTGGAGCAGGCGATTGCGGCCAGCGCGGCAGCAACTACCACGGCGGACGCCTCGTCCTCTCGCCGCGCAAAGACTACGGCGAAAGCTCCAAGAGCCGGCGCCGCCTCAGCCACTGCCAAGCCGGCAGCACGACGAGTCAAGCGCAGCTCGCTGGACGACGAGCCGGACGCCGGCGACCACTCGTCTTCCTCTTCATCAGAAGACAGCGACGTCTTCGTGATGGACGAGGACGACGTCGGCGACGAAAGCGAGTATCTCGTCACCGTCAAGCCCTCTGCACGACCAGCGCCGGCTCGCAAGGCAGCGACGAGAGCGACCAAGAAGGTCAAGGCCGAGCCGGATGTCGCAGCAGAGCAAGCGCCGGAGCGGGAGCTTTCGCCGATCCGGGGTGACACGCCCGGCGTTGCAGAAGCGGACGTGAACGAGGCAGAGGACGAAGGCGACGCGGTTGACTCGACGTTCGCACGGGCTGTCGCACACTTCAGCTACGACGGCCCGGCCGCCTCCAAGGCTACTCCACCCGTCATCCACGCCGCCCCGCCAAAAGCCCGAAGGAAACGCAAGTCGGCCAGCGTCGACGGGGCGGATCCCACCTCGACAAGCACGCTGCCGGCTGAACCCAAAGCCAAGCGAACACGCAAGGCGGCTGACGGGGCCACCCGCACCACGCCGGCCAAGAAGACGCGACGAACCAAGACTCCCGACTCCGCCGAGCCGCTGGCGCTGGCGCTTCCGCTTGCCGCACTGGCCGACCCCCTTGCCACGGAAGCGACAACGGTGGCGCCAACGATCGAGGACGCTACGCCTGTTGACCTTTCGCACATACCCATCACGAGCATCCGACCGCTGGTGCGGTGCACGCTGTGCGCGCGACCCTTCCCGTACTCCCGCAGCGGACCGGGCAAGCTGGCGCACCTGGTCAAGTGCGCCACGACGCTCGGCCTGTCGGCATCGACGGTGTCGTCGACCGTCGAGACCGAGATGCGGCGTCTCTCGCTCGTCGCGGCCGAGGAGCAGCGCAGGGAGGAGGAGAACAAGACGCTGTTCGAGGTGACGCTCAAGGATCGCGTCGTCGTCCGAAGGGAGGCTGCGAAGCGAGCCTCGTTGCACGACGACGACGACGGCGACCGGGAGGGGGCCGGGGGCAAGAAGGGCAAGAAGAGGACTGCGGCGCAGGCCAAGGCCGTCAAGAGGGGCGGGGCGGTGCTGGGTCTCGAGGGGGCGGGATGCGAGATCCAGAGTCCGAACAGGGAGACGCGGAGCGAGGCGAGGAGAAAGGCCGAGGCTTTGCTGGGTCTGCCTCGCCTCGCCTCGTCGAGTGGCGGACAGAAGAGGTACGAGGACGAGTTTGACCTCGACCCCGCTTCACCCTCGACGAAGGACGCCTTGGCGGGAGGAGGAGGAGGTGGTGGGGAGGGAGAGGGAGACGCGGAGGCGGACGAGAAGAAGTTCCTCGAGAAGCTCCTCTCGCAGCGGTTCGGCGGGAGCGGCGGCTCCCGTAGCGGGGGCAGCACCACCTTTGCCTCGCCCTCTGCCTCTGCGGCGGCGAAGCAGAGCCAAGGTCGGGACGATGGCGGCCTGGCGCAGCACCATCTCGACGAGACCAGCCCATACGGCACGGCGGCGATGGTGCCGGGCGACGGGGTCGACGACGTCGAGAGCGACGCCGCATCGTCTCTGCCGTTGCAGACGCAGCCGTTTGCGCCGTCGCGCCTGGCCATGCGCTTCTCGCGCTCGTCCACCATCGTCATCTCGTCACACTCGCACTCGCACTCGCACTCGTCCTCGTCGTCGTCAGCGGCGGCGGCGTCGACGTCGTCTTGCCGCACCGAGGAGCCGGGAAAGGCGTCGATGAGGAAGGGTCTGTTTATGGATCGCGGAGAGTCGGCTCGCGGCTTACTCGAAACTATTCGCCGTGGCGGCGGTGGCGGTGGGTAGCGAGGAGACCTATCGCATCGTCAGGCCGTACCCTTTTCATCGTCTCGAATGCATCTGATCCCTTCTCAAACACAGACAGAGCGACGAGCGAGGGATGGAGGAGGGGAGAAGGTTCGAGGTTCCAGATTTTCCATCATGGACAGAGACGAGGGAAAGTGGTGTCACGACGAACGGGGCTCGAGGCGGCGGTGGTGGTGGTGGTCATCGAGAGAGAGGGACGAAAGGGGATCTCGTAGCTCGAGACACGCCCTACGTCGACGTCAACCCTTCTACGTCCGCTCCCGAGCATCGTCGACTTGGAAACGAGGGAAGAAAGAGCACCGGAGTCGGACCGCCCTTTGAAGGATGCGACAGTGGCAGACGAGGGGAGTTACCCCCCCACTCTCGAAACGCGTCCCGGACGGGCCAGCGCCCTCGGACGGAAGAGAAGGGGGGGTTGGATCCTCGACGCCCTGGACACCCGGGCGACCGCCGCGCTAGCGCCTCTTTGCCCTGCTGCGTCGAACGGAGAGAGGGAGGGAGGGAGGGCAGGGAGGACGACGACCGCGGAGGGAGAAAAAGGAGGAGTGTGATGGCGGAAGAGTGGAGGGATGGCGGGCCGAGGAACGGCCGCGGCGACAATGGACAGGAAGGAGTCGTGGGAGGAGGAGCGGCTCTACAAGCAACGTGACGAAAGCAAAAAGATCGACAAGGCAAAACGAATGACGGTGACGCTGGGAAGGAGAGGCTTGGATCCAGAAAGAGCAGACGAAGAGAAGCGGCGAGGGCCACAGCGGCCGAGAGAGGGGGGTCCAGGTCCTAACGGCGCGCTACGACGGGCTAAGATCGCTTAGAGGTACTCCCACTTGATCGGGACCATGCCCTCGGCGACGGTGGCAATCTTCTCAAACGCAGCCTTGGACAGGTCGATCGACTGCTGGTTGGTGCACGAGGGGCACTCGTCGGCCACCTTGACGACCACCTCGGCGCCCGGCTTGTCGGCGCGGAAGATGCGCACCATCTTGCCGCACTTGCTGCCGCCGGCGTACTCGGACGACTGCAGCGCGGCAATCATGGCCGTGTCCGGGTTGTAGTTGCCACAGGCACCGGCGTTGCCGTTCTGGGTGTAGAACGTGGCAAAGCCTCCGGTCACGATGCTGCTGCTCGAGCTGCTCGAGCTGCTGCTGCTGCTGCTGCTGCTGCTGCTCGACGACGAGGACGACGAAGACTGCTGCGACGACGAAGACGACTGGCTCTGGCTCGATTGCTGCTGCTGCTGCTGTTGCTGCTGCTCCTGACCCTTGGCCTGAGTGCTGGACTGCTTGGCCTTGGGCGTGGCCTTGGGCGTGGGCGAGGTGGACGAGCTGGAAGCAGGCTTGTCAGCGGCGGCCTGCGGCTGGTTGCCGCTCTTGGTCGGGGTCTTCTGGGGCGGGGCAGCACCAGACGGGGCGTCCTTCGACGGGGCGGAGGCCTTGTGCGGGGTGTAGGGGGCGGCAGATCCAGAGGCGTTGTCGCTGCCCTCGTCCTCGCAGTCGTCCTCGACGGTGGGCGCGGGGGTGCTGTCCTCCTCGTCATCGCAGTCCTCCTCGGCGCCAGCCTCGGGCGAGTCCTCGTCGTCGTCGCAGTCCTCCTCGTCATCACCGGCGGAGGAGCCGCTGTTGTTGCCAGACGATGTCGACGACGAGCCGTTGCTGCTGCTGCTGCTGTGGTTGCTGCCAGAGGACGACGAGGCGGCGTTGGACGACGACGCCGACGACTGCGACTGGTCAACCGAGTTGGAGGAGCCCGAGTTGGAGCTCGAGCCGCCAGACTTCACACCAGTCGAAGAGCCAGAGTTGGAGCCGGATGCGTGGTTGCCCTTGTGGCCAGACGAGTGCTGACCCTTGGAGCCGGAAGACGAGTTGGAGCCCGACGAAACGCCAGAGCCAGAGTTGGAACCAGAGCTAGAACCAGAGCCCAAGCCCGAGCCCGAGCCCGAGGTGGTGCCCGACGAAGCGCCGTTGCCAGACTCGTCACCCTCCTCGCAGTCGTCCTCGCCGGTCTGAGCGCCGCTCGACGAAGCGGTCTGGCCGTTGGAGGAAGACGACTGGTCGCCCGACGACGAAGCATTGCTGTTGTTGGACGAAGCCGACTCGTTGGAGCTGTTGTTCGAGCCAGTCTCGCCGGTGGAGCCGGTCTGTCCCGACGATGTGCTGCTGCCCTTGCCGTCCTTGGGCTTGTCCGAAGACGGGCTGCCAGAGCCAGAGTTGGACGCGCCCTTGCCGCCCTCGTTCTCGTCGCAGTCCTCGGGCAGCTTGATGGTGGAGCCCTTGCCGCTGCCGCTCGACGAGGTCGAGTTGCCGGCGGACGAGGTCGAGTTGCCAGCAGACGAGACGTCGGTGGCGTTGGCAGAGCCGGTGGCGTTGTGAGAGCCAGAGTGGTCAGTCGAGGTGGCGTTGTGAGCACCAGACAGGTCGGTCGAGGTGGCGTTGCTACTGCCAGCGCTGCCCGAGACGTTGCCGCTCGAGGTGCTGTTGTGGGCGCCCGAGGCGCCAGCGCTCGCGGTGCCGTTGTTGGCGGCCTGGTGGCCCTCTTCGCTGCCGCTGTGGCCGCTGGAGCTGTTGCTGCCCTGCTTGCCCTCAGAGCTGGCACCGCTCGAGTGGGACTCCTGGCTGGAGGCTTCCGAGTCCTTGGACGACTGCTCGTTGGACGACGAGCTCGACTTCGAGTCCTTCGAATCGTTCTTGGACTCGGACTGCGACGACTTCGAGTCCTTGGACGAGCCCTGGGCCGAATTGGCCGAGTCGGACTGCGAGGCCGAGTCCTTAGTGCTGTCCGAGTGCGAGGCGTTGGAGGCGGCCGACTCGTTGCTGGCCTGCTGCGACGAGTTCTCCTTGCCCGAGTTGCTCTTGGAGTCGGTCTGGCCGTTACCGGTGGTGACCGAGGAGCTCGAGTGCTGCTTGTTGTCGCTGCTGCTCGACTGGGCGGAGCTGGACTTGTCGTCCTTGTGGTCCTGGGACTGATCCTGGTGGGCGCTGGCGCTCTCGCTCGACTTGGTGGAGCCATCGCCGTAGGTGGTGTTCGAGGAGCTGGCGTCCTTGGAGCTGTTCGAGGAGCTGGCGTCCTGGGAGCTCGACTGGTCCTTGTTGGCCGACTGGGACTGGGACTGCTGGCTCTGCGAGTCCTTGGTGGCGGTGGTATTGCCCTTGCCGTCGGTCGAGGAGCTCTCGTTGGACTTGGACGAGGAGCTGCTCTGGTTGCTCGACGAGGAGCTCTGGCTGCTCTGGCTGCTCTGGTTGGACGAGCTCTGGCTGCTCGACGATTGGTTGGTGGTGGTGCTGTAGCTGCCGTCGGCGCCGTTGCCGTGCCTGCGCACCTTGCGCTGCATGCGGCGCTGGTGCGAGTGAAGGTTGACGTACGCGTTTCCGCCAGCGGAAGCGTGTCGGGTGTTGAGCTGGTTGGCCTGGGCCTGCTGGGGGCCGACCGAGGCAAGCGCAATCGCCGCGAGGGCGATGCAGACGGTCTTGGCGATGGGTGCCATGATGACGATGGGTTGTCGGTTGAGTGTAGGAGGCTGAGGTGATGAGGCTGGTGTCGAGGCTATGCTATTGCCGTAGCGGCGATGTCGATGCAAAGACGGTGACTGATGGGACAGGGAGAGAGGGGGGTGGCTCGTTGGCTTCCAGTGAAGAGGAGCGGGCTCGACGGCTTGCCTGTCAAAGGCGCTGAACCGCGATCACGTCAAAAGAGGAGAGAGGGAAGGGTTGGGGAAAACGAAGCGCGTAAGCGGGTCGATGGAGAGGGGGAGGGGGTTGGTGGTAGGTCGAGAAGGTCTGCACAGCAGGAGAGGTAGGATGAATATATGTCGAGAGGATGGAGGGGCGACTGGGCGCTAGGCGACGGAGAGACGAGGGAGAGAGGGCAGAGGGAAGCGAGTCCTGGATCAACCTAGGAGACGAGGAAGGGGGCAAGGGCGAACGAAAACCGGATGGTGGTGGAAGGACGGAAGGACAGGGGGGCCAAGCTTGGGCTAGAGGAGCTTCAAAGGAACAGCTGGTCGCGCACACAAAGGGGGCAACGGGGCGACGGGGCGACGATGGCGGACTCGACGGCGCCCGAGGGAAGGAAGGGGGCGAGGGAAAGGGGGAAGGGGGGACTGCCCGCCCGCTCGTACGTCCGCCTGCCGACCTGCACGACACAGGAGCTGCGAGGACGAGGCAGGCGGCGGTGCGTCTGGTTTGCGCGCCGCTGCTGCTTGCTTGCTTGCTCGCTTGCTTGCTGCGTTGCCTGTCAGGGTCAGGGCAGGCCTGTCGAGGCCTGCAGCCGCTCGGCCCGCCCGCCAAGCCGCCGCCCCGTTCCTCTGCGCAAACACGACGCCCCGCCCGGCCTAGCCTAGCCCCGCTCGTCTTCATTTTCTTGGCCGCGCCGGTCCCGAAATGAACTCTGGGCTCCGTACGACCAGCGTACGTTTGCCGTCCTCCCTGCCTGTGGCGTGGTGGTACATACGGTGGTGGTTGTGCAGTTGGCGACAAAGGCTGCATCGAGGACGATGCTGGTGCAGCCATATGCATGCTCATGCTCCTCGTAGGGCTTTGCACCGGTATCGCCAAGGTTCGGTCCAGTGGCCGGCGATTCGAGGGTGGTGGCGTGCACGCCGTCCCTACCCTTTGGTGGTCTCGCTTGGCCAAGCTCCGAAAAGCACAGAGAAGCCCACACTTTCTGCGCGAATCCAGGCTAAGCAAGTTGATCGGAAGCGCAATCTATGTAGAGGGCCACCAGTAGGTTACTTTCTTCCGCGAGGAACAAAAGCATGCAAAGACTGCGCCCCTTCCACAGCGACGTTGACCTTCCTCGAGGTGGCGCAAGTTAAGCGGTGAACTGGCGCCGGGAAGCATGGCCGAGAAAGGTCGTTTGGGCCGTTTGCTCAGCCCTTTGTCGTCGTCGTTGCCGCACGGAGGGGTCGTTGCCATCGGGAGGCGGGGGGGGCGGTGCGAGGTTGAGCCGATCGGACCACGGCCGCCGGGGAGCAGCGAGTGACAACCGCGCGCTCAACGTGCTGGCTGACCGCCTGCCTTGCTTGGCTGTGCGTGCCGAGCTTGTGCGATGCTGCTGCATCTCGAAGCGCCCCGTCCATTTGCATGAGCAGCGCGTCACACGGGCGCCAGCAAACGGTGAAGCAGGCAGGCAGGCAGGCAGGCAGGCAAAGGCAAAGCTCCGTTGGCCTTGGTGACCGGCGCCACGGCCGGTGTCCCCCGTTTCTTGCGTGCGCGGCATCGCCGTCGACGCCCCTTGCTTTGCTTTGCTTGCTTAGCGTACGTACGTGCTGCTTAACTTGTTGCTTGCCTTGGCCTGCCGCTCGCGCGAGGTTGCCGTCTTGCCAGCCAGACAAGGGGGGAATCGTCTCGCCGCTTTCCCACCATAACGTGCGACCGTCGGCGTCGAGCCACGTCCAGGCACCTTTCATCCGCGCCCGTTTCGCGTTCCTGTCAGAAGGGCAGCGCTCGTGAGCGCTACATAACATCGATCTGTTGCCTTGATATCGTCGAATACTCACGAGGCCGTCGATCATCTTTGAGAGCGCAGGCAAGGCGGGCTGCAACGGCCCTCCTCAGTTCATCGATCTGCTGCCACAGGCCTGCTGCTCCGCGCTGCTGCTGGGCGTCGAGGCGAGTGCCCCCCCCCGTCCTCGCCGGCCTGTCCTGGGCTGGGCGTCGCGTGCAGCATGACTTTTCGGGACCTGAAACCAGAGCTGCGCCCAACCGCGTTGGCACCTCTCGGCTGCAGCAGCATGCAGAAGGCAGGGAGCTACTGTAGCTGCTGCGGCGCGCCGCTTGGCACAGCTGCGTGCCGTCGTCTGCCCCGCCACCCGGCCGGCCAGCGCGGCTCCATCGGCAGCCTTGCACGCGCCGTGTGGCCGCAAGGTCCATGCATCTGCCCACAGCAAGCAAACGCAAGCACGACCTCCCTTTCCCATCGTTGACCTCGCGACCGCATCGTCTGTGTATGTGGGCTGCGTCGGCGAGCAGCATCTCTCGACCTCGAGGAGGGCCCTCGTCAGGACTAGTGGCTCGGTGCCTGCGTACGGGAAGATCAGCGAGCGGGGAATAGCCTACGCGAGCTTCTTCCGGCACAGATCGAGGTTTGCCGGGCAGCAGCATCGATCCATATGATGGGCGAGACGGTGGCGCCGGCCTCGAAGCCGGCCAGAGCACGGCATGGCGGTGCCAGGTCCGGCAGCCAGCCTACAGCATGCCCCGCTCATCGGTGCCGCCTTCTGATCGATGGCCATCACGTTCCGAGCGACAAAACGCCCAGCTGCGTGCCGTCGGCCCGGACAACTCCATGCTGGCTGGTCTATGCCGTCCTTCTCTCTCGTACACGACGGAGAGCAGAGAGTTATCCGCGCCCTTTGTCCTGCATCACGGCGCTCGATGCCGCCCCGACACAGACCGCGAGTTCCGCTCGCGCTCTCGCTTCGTCTTTCGACCAGCGGCTCGTTGCGCCCGTACCCGGCCCTGTGGTCCATGCCGCGAGCGTCGCGGATGAGGCATGCGATCGGAGGCTGACGGCGCACGAAGGCTGGCAGATCGGTCCAACAGCATAGCGGGCGTACCTAGAAACGAGACAGCGGGGCGAACGGAGAACGTTCTCGAGTTTCTCCTGGGTGCGCTTCCCCTGACCGCCGCCGCCGCCGCCGCCGCATCAGCATCATGAGCACCGCCAGATGGTGCGTCGCACACCGTCACCGGCCTGTTCCTGATCTTGCTAGGTACCCTAGCACTTCCGTTGGCGGCTTCTTGACGGCGCCTTGCTCACCGGATCGCGCGAGTAGACCCGGTTGGCGGCTGAGAGGCGAGATCAATTGGCCTTCCTTCGCACGCAAGCCACCCCGAGCGACGAGCCAGGCACCGACAACGGGGGGTCGACAAATGGCGAGGGCGCTCGTTGAACGTCAGTTGATCACGTATAACAGTGGGGGGTTCGGCCGGTCCGGCTTGTGTCGATCCCCTCGATTGCGCGTGCCCGCTCCGCCGTCGCAACTCTAGCCGCCTCGGATTACCGCCTGAGCGTCTTGTGTGCTCCTCGACTCATGCTCATCAGACGCTAGCACCGATTCCGATTGAAGCTTGCAGACCGCGCGGTCCGAGGCTTGCACATCGACTGCCTACACCAGCAAAAGAATATCTACCGCGGACCGTGCCAATCACCGTCAGCTCAAGATAAAACTCAGCAGAAAAAAGCCTCGATGGCAGTGAAGCCATGTAATGAATGGATATCTTTGCTCGCCTCTCTTTCCCGCACAATATCGAACAAAGAGGAGCACGAGTCGTGCTCGGTGAAAAGTCGTGCGAAAAAAGTAGACATAATGCAAAGGTGTCTTTTTAGCTCACGGTGGCGAAAAAACCGCAGCACCTGGATTGCCCCCGTGGTCAGACAGCAGCGGATGCCGTCAGAACAGGAACAGAAGATCACAGACTGATGTTCTGTGGTGGTAGTGCAAGGTGTTCATTGGGGGGATGCAAGGTAGCTGAGCTGTTCGCACGTCGTCTTTCGTCCTCGGTCTCATCGAGGAACAGCACGCGCAGATGAGATAGCATGGAGAGGCTGAGGCGATGCAGCAGGATGCGCCGAGAAGATGTCCATTGAGAGGAATGGTACTTCGCTAGGTAGTCGATCCGCCACCAGTATTACCGCCGCCGCCTCCTCCTCGCCGTCCCTGGTTATTGCCCCGACCACGCTCGCCCCGTCGACCACCTTCTCCCGAGCGCTGTCCGCCAGATCTGCGCCCGCCTCGTCCTCGTCCGCTCGCGGCGTTGGGGGCGTTCGTGGCGGGAGACAAAGTCGTGTCAGATGGCACACTCTTGCCACCCTCCGCTGCGGGCACGGCTGGCGAGGAAGGCTTGACCTCGGACGCCGGTGCTGGGTTTCCCGCGCCTTTGGCTGGTGACGCGGCCTGGACGTCAACGACCGCGCTGTTGGAAGGCGCGCGGGTTACGATGGCCGTCGAGTTGGTAACGCAGGCTACCTCGAGCGCCCGTTCGGCTGCTTGGGCCCGCGCCTCGGCCTTGGTCAGTGCTGCATCGAGCGCAGCGATCAGACGGTGCGCATCTGTTCGTGGCGAAGAAGCGGGCGGATGGGCAGAGTGTGAGCAAGGCGGATGCCATGGTTGAAAGGAAGGGCTTCGGCACAGCACTCACCCTGCAGTTCTTGCAGCAGCTCCGTCGTCGCCGGCGGTGTCGTCTTGGATCCGTCGGCGAGATCCAGCTTTTCCTCCAGCAGCCGACCGAGCTCGTCGTTCTCGGCCGTCAGTGCGGCCACCCTCTGCAGCAGGCGGACACCGAGGATCGGGTGCGGCGGCTCCGTCGTACTCTCCGTCTTGGATAGTCCTGCCTGCTCCGCATCGCCGTTCTTCTTGCCCTGCACGCTCTCATCGCCCTCCCCTTTGCCAGCTTCCCAGGCCAGCCATGCCCTCTTTGGGTCGAAGCCGACAGCCTCGGTGCGCAGACGGAGGAGCTCGTCCCTCTTTTTATAGACGCCGATGATGCCTTTGAGCGAGTCGCCGTACTCGCGATAGGCCTGAGCGACCTCTCCGACGTCCTCCAATGGCGGCGCCGCTGCAGCAGGGCTGGGTTCTGTCGGTGGTTCGGGCATGGCTGGCACCTCCGGCAGTGCAGGATAGCGCAGTGCAATCTCGGCCGCTACCGTCGCAGGCGTCGAACCCTGACCGAAGAGGCCGGATGACGCCTGGAGGTCTGGTCGATGACCACCGTAGCCGACCGCCTGCCCATTCTCGAAGCGCTTGCCGGGGAAGCTTCCCATCCGCTGCATCGACGCCGCAGGCAGCAGCGGCTGTGGTCTGATTGGCGGCACCGCGTTCATCGGCAGCGGCGCGGCACCAGGATGGAATACCGTGTAGGCTGCCGCTTCGGCCGGCAGGGCTGCAACGCCTTGCGCATCGGCTGGCTTGGTCGGAAGCGCAGACGACGCCGGCGTGGTGGTTCCTCCTGCTGCTTGCGTTGTTGCCTCGACACCAGCAGCGCCTTCGTCGCCATCATCGACCGCGCCGCTGTCGTCGCCTGACGCCGAGGCCGATGCTGCTACTGGACTCCCAGATGCGTCAGGATCGCTTGGCCTCGGGAAGACGAAGGACTGCAGCCGCGTCTTGCCAGCACTGGGCCTGGGACTGTGGCCGGTACTGAGGCTCAGCTGTTGGACTGGCCTGGACAGCGGCGTGAGGTTGCCGGGGCTCGATGCTGACGAGACGGCCGGCCCGTTAGCTGCGGCAAAGTTGGGCGCGAGGTACGGCGAGCGGAAGCCAGACGGCACGCCTGGGTTGACAGGCGCAGCATAGCCCTGCTGGTATGGTTGAGGTTGCGGCTGCCCGAACATGCCCGGCTGAGCCGCGTAGGATGCCATGGCAGGCGAGCCCGTCGGGTAGGGGCCGGCTGGGCCATAGGCAGGCTGGTTCGAGTAGAGGAACTGCGCCTGTTGCTGGTGCATCGCAGATGGGCCGCCGTACCCAGGTGCGACGCCATAGGCGGGTCCAGCCGCCGCATTGTTGACGCCCGGCTGGTACCCGTACACGGCGGGACCAGCGCCGTAGCTTGGCTGGTACGGCCCGTTACGAGGCTGCTGCTGCTGCTGCTGCTGCTGCTGGACCATCTGCTGCCGTCGCTGAGGGCCGGACATGGCGCGGTCGATGCGAGCTGAAGCGGAACGCGAGAGATTGCGCCACAGAGAGCGAGAGGGGACGGAAGGCACGAGGCGCTGCGAGCCCTCAAGGCGGCTGATGGGTCTGCCGGCCTGTCTGCCCGGCTTGGCTAGCTTTGAACGAGTCGAGCGAGCGCAGATCTGGATCGCCTGCGGTAGGACTGCCGTGCCGTGGTGGCTGAGCGATGTGAGCCAGCTGGACGCGGATCGTCGCCGGGTTGCGCCTTCTCGATCGAGCCTGGACACGGGCACGGCGAGCGCGGCAACGACGATGCGTGAGCGGCCTGCGCTTTCGGGACAGGAAGCGGGGAGGATCGGCCTCGATCCGCCGCGCCGTCGAGCAAGGCCTCAAGGCGGTCGACCTGGAGGTGGCGGTGCCGAAGGGATTAACGACGGGTGAGAGCCGGAGGGAGACAGCGGTGGTGGTGGTACGAAGACGGCGAGGGTTGCCTCGACGGCGAGAAGGTCGCTGGCCCGTCCGCCCCCACCTTTTTGGATTCCTGATTCCGTGTGGCCTTGCCTTAGCTTGCCTTTGAGCTGCCTGCTCATGCCCGCACCCAGCCACCTATGCACACTCGCACGCGCCCACGGCAGAACCGAGCAGCGCTCGCCTTGAAACAAACAGAAGCGCAGACAGCCAGGCAGCCAAGGCAGGCAGGCGAGACCCTGGCTGGCTTGTCGCGACCAACACGGCCTCCAGAGCCACTCTACGTCTTCGCAACCACCATCTCGCAGGCCGCCTCTCCATCTCATCCGCGACAGAGCCCCGCCCTACCTCATCATCCGAATCGCCGAATCGACTGCATCCTCCTGCTCACTAACGTCAACGACACCACCATGATCCGGCGGCCGCCCACCACGCTCAACCTGCAAGAGGCCGACGTCGAGACGCTCAAGGCCTACCGTCGTGCCAGAATCATTGAGGCATCGCAACAGGCCGCGCGCTCGGGCACCGCCTACCAGGGCGCGGCAACCACGAACGCTCACATGGCCGACCACCGGTACGACCACGCCGCAGCCGATTCGCAGTCGCAGACGCAGCCCGGGCTATCGCAGCAGGAAAACATGGGCGCCCGCGGGCCTGCCACCTGAGCTCTGGCATCAGGACGAGCCGCAATGCTCGCACGCGCGCACAGCAACGATCCCAGCTATGGACTCGCAGGAGCGCTCCCCTCTTCAGACTAGGCGCTCAGCCGCATCCCAACGCAGCGTCAAACTGACGGAGCCCAGGCCCGGTCGACGAGGTGCTGACGATCGTTGGATTCAGCACGGCCCAGGACACAAGTACACGACTCTTCCGTTTCGACGGCAGGCTCCGCGGCGATCGGTCGCTCCGCCGACAGTCACGCTCCATTAGCGGCTGCGTCTTTCGCTTCCTTGCCACGGCGAGCAAGGTGCCCACAACACCCGTCACGAAGCGCGCCTCTCGTCGTACAGATCGCCGATCTCTGCATTCAGGCAAACGGTGGAAGACGGCATCGGAGGAAAGCGGGGAGCGACAGGCGTGATCAGCGGAGGTCTGGCAGATGGACCGACTTGGGAATGAGAGGAAGACTCCGCGGCTCTCCTCACCTCGAATGTACTTGTCGCGCACTCGCTCGTCGAGAAGCTGCGTGCGGAGCAGGAGAAGACAGTACGGAGGCGTCGCGAACGTCATCGTGTGCTCAACTGACACATCTGAAGCGGTGGCGGCAGAGGTCATCATGTTCTGTTTGCGCGTCGACTCACCCTGTCCTCGCCTCTCCTCTCGGGCTGTTCGACGAATGCGAAGCCTTCGCTGGCTTCGAAGCCGCGGGCGGTGGCGCGCCTTCTGCTGGGGCCGCCGGCAGCGGCCGCCTGCTCAATGGCCGCGGACGGTTCTCCCGAGTGCTCTGCGCTTTCGTCTTCGACGATGCTGGGTCTCTCATCTTGTTCCTGGTCATGCAGGTCTTCCTCTGGGCTGAGATTGTCGGCAGGGTGCGATCTCGAGGTGGACGGAGCGTCGGTTGCCGCGGCAGCCGCCTGGTCGATGGAGGCCATCTCGTGGTCCTGCGCAGACGAAGAGGCGAGCGGCTGAGACGGGTTCGAGTCGGCCATGGCGGCAGTAGGAGTGCAATGGGTGCAAGAGGGCGACGGGACTGTGTGAGATGCGGTCGTGGTGGTCGTGGTGGTGGTGAGTCTGCTGGCTGGGAGAGAGAGAAGGGGCGCGGGGCGGGACGGGGCAGTGGCAAGCAGGCCAGGCAGGCAGGCAGGCCGTGGCTCAGTCACCTCCACTTGAGGGTCGTTCCTGACGCGCCCGGGCCTCTGGGCACAGCACAGCAGAAAAGGCAGAGAAAAAGCTAGGACGGCTCACGTGGGGGATCGGCAGCCAGATGCCGCCCACGGCTGAGCCATCAATCATCAATCCGCCGACCGTCACCGCGCTCAACGTCGGCGATATCTGGCCGCCTGTCGAGTTGAGCAGCGCCAAAGGCCGTCGTGGTGAGGGCTTGCGACATGGCATACCGAGTCTTGAACCGTCCCGTATGCTGGCTTCCCGTGGGCTGCGATGGACGCCGATTGCACCTCGTTGTAGAGCGAGGTCGACTGGATCGACTGGATTGGCTCATCTTCTCGGATCCGAGATTTTGGCGCGCGTCGATCGAGAGGTTTTCGCCGGACTGCGCCTGGCAGGTGGGCGGGGGTGGGCCGGGGGCGCCAGCGAAGAATTCACGCCACTCGTCCATTCACCACATCCTTTGCCCCCCATCGCTTCCCTTGACAATCGCACCTTTCCGCACTCGTTTCACATCCACGATACGGCTCAGCCTCAGAGCTCCATCCACCTCCGTTCTCGCCCCTGTGTGAAGCCTTGTTGACGGAAGAAGTCGCCCAAAGAGACTGGCATTGCGACGACCACCACCGCGACCCGCGACAGCATTCACACGCGCCCTCCCGACGAGCCATACCATCAGCTCCATCGTCGTCAGCCAGTGACCGGGAGCGACCAGAGAGAGCACTTGCTCGGCAGCCTAGGCCCACCCTGCGGGCGACCTGCCCCGTCGGACGCCAGCGCCGTCGCTCGACCACGGCCGTCGCCGACCCCGACCGCCACCCTCAATTATACTACACACCATGTCCGGCCCTCCGCCCGGTTTCATGGGCGCACCGCCGTCGGCACCATCGTCGATGCGCGGCCCGCCGCCCGGCATGCCCCAGACGTCGCCCTACAGCGTGCCGCCCATCATGACGACCGAGAGGCTCGAGTCCAAGGCGAAAAAGTGGCAGCAAAGCCAGAGCCGCCGCTTTGGCGACCGCCGCGGCAAGACGGGCTTCGTCGACACGGGCAAGCAGGAGATGCCGCCGGAGGTGCTGCGCAAGGTCATCAAGGACCACGGCGACATGAGCAATCGCAAGTACCGCCAGGACAAGCGCGTCCACCTCGGCGCGCTCAAGTACGTGCCGCACGCCATGATGAAGGTGCTCGAGAACATCCCGATGCCGTGGGAGCAGGTGCGCGAGGTGCCCGTGCTCTACCACATCACCGGCGCCATCACGTTCGTCAACGAGGTGCCCAAGGTCATCGAGCCCGTCTTCCACGCCCAGTGGGCCACCATGTGGCTGGCGATGCGGCGCGAGAAGCGCGACCGGCGCCACTTTAAGCGGATGCGCTTCCCGCCGTTTGACGACGAGGAGCCCGTCGTCGACTACGGCGACAACCTGCTCGATGTCGAGCCGCTCGAGGCCATCCAGCTCGAGCTCGACGAGGAAGAGGACAGCGCCATCATCGACTGGTTCTACGACCACAAGCCGCTGCTCGACGACGGCGAGCGCGTCAACGGGCCGTCGTACAAGTTCTGGAACCTCGACCTGCCGCAGATGGCGGCGCTCCACCGCCTCGGCCGTACGCTGCTGAGCGACTTTGCGTCGGGGGACCGCAACTACTTTTACATGTTCGACCCCAAGTCGTTCTTCACCGCCAAGGCGCTCAACATGGCCATCCCCGGCGGCCCCAAGTTCGAGCCGCTGTACAAGGACACAGACGGCTTCGACGACGACTTTACCGACTTCACCGACTTTCGCAAGGTCATCATCCGCCAGCAGATCCGCACCGAGTACAAGGTGGCCTTCCCGCACCTCTACAACAGCCGGCCGCGCTCGGTGCACATCGGCACCTACCACGAGCCCAAGAACGTCTACATCCGCTCCGACGAGATCGACCAGGCCTTCTACTTTGACCCGGTCATCAACCCGATCTCGGGCCGCTCGCTGGCCAGCTCCAACGCCTTCCGGAGCGAGTACGACGACGGCACGCCGGTGCTGGCCCACGAGGACGACGTCTTCGGCGAGGGCGTCGAGGGCGACGACGAGCTGCCGGACGAGGTGGCCTTTTCGCTGCCGGACGACGTGGCGCCGTTCCTCGACGAGCGGCCGCTGGAGAACGAGCTGACGGCCGACGCCATCGCGCTGTGGTGGGCGCCGTCGCCCTACGACCGGCGCAGCGGCCGCACGCGGCGCGCCGTCGACGTGCCGCTGGTGCAGACGTGGTACCTCGAGCACTGCCCGCCCAACCAGCCGGTCAAGATCCGCGTCAGCTACCAGAAGCTGCTCAAGAACTACGTCTACAACTCGCTCCACACGCGCAAGCAGAAGCCGCAGAAGCGCAAGTACCTGCTCAAGCAGCTCAACGCCACCAAGTTCTTCCAGAACACGAGCATCGACTGGCTCGAGGCGGGCCTGCAGGTGTCGCGGCAGTCGTTCAACATGCTCAACCTGCTGATCCACCGCAAGGGCTGCTCGGCGCTCCACCTCGACTTTAACTTCAACCTCAAGCCCACCAAGACGCTGACGACCAAGGAGCGCAAGAAGAGCCGCTTCGGCAACGCCTTCCACCTGGTCCGCGAGATGGCGCGCATCGTCAAGCTCGTCGTCGACAGCCAGGTCACCTACCGACTCGGCTCGATCGACGCCTTCCAGCTGGCCGACGGCCTCCAGTACCTCTTCAACCACGTCGCCACCCTCAGCGGCATGTACCGCTACAAGTACCGCGTGATGCGCCAGATCCGCGCGTGCAAGGACCTCAAGCACGTCATCTACTCGCGCTTCAACACGGGGCCCGTCGGCAAGGGACCGGGCGTGGGCTTCTGGGCGCCGTCGTGGCGCGTGTGGATGTTTTTCCTGCGCGGCATCACGCCGCTCCTCGAGCGCTGGCTGGGCAACCTGCTGGCGAGGCAGTTTGAGGGGCGCAAGGGCCGCGCCAAGGGCGTCTCGACCATCACCAAGCAGCGCGTCGAGAGCTCGTTCGACCTCGAGCTGCGCGCCAGCGTGCTCCACGACATCCTCGACCTGATGCCCGAGGGCCTCAAGGCCAACAAGTCGCGCGTCATCCTCCAGCACCTCTCGACGGCGTGGCGCTGCTACAAGTCCAACACGCCGTGGAAGGTGCCCGGCATGCCGACGGCCGTCGAGAACCTCATCCTGCGCTACGTCAAGCTCAAGGCCGACTGGTGGACTTCGGTGACGCACTACAACCGCGAGCGCATCCGCCGCGGCGCCACCGTCGACAAGACGGTCAGCAAGAAGAACCTCGGCCGCCTCACCCGCCTCTACCTCAAGGCCGAGCAGGAGCGCCAGAACTCGTACCTCAAGGACGGGCCCTACATCACGTCCGAGGCCGCCGTCGCCATCTACACGTCGACCGTCCACTGGCTCGAGAGCCGCCGCTTCCAGCCGATCCCCTTCCCCTCACTCAACTTTAAGCACGACACCAAGATCCTCGTCCTCGCCCTCGAGAAGCTCAAGGAGTCGTACAGCGTCAAGGGCCGCCTCAACCAGAGCCAGCGCGAGGAGCTCGCCCTCATCGAGCAGGCGTTCGACAACCCGCACGAGACGCTGGCGCGCATCAAGCGCCTGATGCTCACCCAGCGCGCCGCCAAGGCCGTCGGCATCGAGTTCTTCGACACCTTCGACAAGCTCATCCCGTGCTACGACATCGAGCCGATGGAGAAGATCACCGACGCCTACCTCGACCAGTACCTCTCCTACGAGGCCGACAAGCGCCAGCTCTTCCCCGCTTGGGTCAAGCCGAGCGACTCGGAACCGGCGCCGTTGCTCGTCTACAAGTGGTGCAACGGCATCAACAACCTCGAGGGCGTCTGGGACACGTCCGAGGGCCAGTGCAACGTGCTCATGGAGACGACCCTCAGCCGCGTCTACGAGAAGATCGACCTGACGCTCCTCAACCGGCTGCTGCGCCTCATCATGGACCACAACCTTGCCGACTACATCACGTCCAAGAACAACGTCTCGATCGTCTTCAAGGACATGGAGCACATCAACACGTACGGCCTGATCCGCGGCCTCCAGTTTAGCGCGTTCGTGTTCCAGTACTACGGCCTCATCCTCGACCTCCTCATCCTCGGCCTGCAGCGCGCCAGCGAGATGGCGGGCCCGCCGGCGATGCCCAACGGCCTCTTCCAGTTCAAGGACGCCGCCACCGAGGCCGCCCACCCGATCCGCCTCTACACGCGCTTCGTCGACCGCATCCACATCCTCTACCGCTTCGACGCCGACGAGGCGCGCGACCTCATCCAGCGCTACCTCAGCGCCAACCCGGACCCCAACAACAGCAACCTCATCGGCTACAACAACCGCAGGTGCTGGCCCCGCGACTGCCGCATGCGCCTCGTCAAGCACGACGTCAACCTCGGCCGCGCCGTCTTTTGGACGGTCAAGAACAGCCTGCCGCGCAGCCTCACCACCATCGAGTGGGACGACACGCTGTGCTCGGTCTACAGCAAGGACAACCCCAACCTCCTCTTTTCCATGGCCGGCTTCGAGGTCCGCATGCTGCCCAAGGCCCGCCAGGGCGACGTCGACACCACCCGCGACGGCGTCTGGCCCCTCGTCGCCGCCGCCTCGGGCGAGCGCACCGCCACCGCCTACCTCCGCGTCTCGGACGAGGGCATCGCCAACTTTAACAACCGCGTCCGCGCACTGCTCATGTCGGCCGGCGCCGCCCCGTTTAGCAAGATCGCCAACAAGTGGAACTCGTGCCTGATCGCGCTGATGACCTACTACCGCGAGGCCGTCGTCAACACCGAGGAGCTCCTCGACCTCCTCGTCAAGAGCGAGAACAAGGTCATCAACCGCATCAAGTCCGGCGTCAACTCCAAGATGCCCTCCCGCTGGCCCATCCACATCCTCGCCTCGCCCAAGGAGCTCGGCGGTCTCGGCATGCTCTCGATGGGCCACGTCCTCATCCCCGCCTCCGACCTCCGCTACTCGCGCCAGACGACCACCGGCATCACCCACTTCCGCTCCGGCCTCTCGTCTGGCCAGGAGGACCAGCTGCTCCCCGCCCTCTACCGCTACATCACCCCGTGGGCATCGGAGTTTGAGGACTCGGCGCGCGTCTGGCAGGAGTACGCCCAGAAGCGCAAGGAGGCCAGCGAGCAGAACCGCCGCCTCACCCTCGAGGACCTCGAGGACTCGTTCCACCGCGGCCTCCCGCGCATCGCCACCCTCTTCCAAAAGGACCGCACCATCCTCTCCTACGACAAGATGTGGCGCGTGCGGCAGGAGTTTAAGCGCTACCAGGTCGCCAAGTCCCAGCCCTTTGCCTGGACCAACCAGCGCCACGACGGCAAGCTCCACAACCTCAACCAGCTCCGCACCGACACCATCGCCGCCCTCGGCGGCGTCGAGACCATCCTCGAGCACTCGCTCTTTGCCGCCACCGCCCACCCGACCTGGGAGGGCCTCTTTTGGGAAAAGTCGTCGTCGTTCGAGGAGAGCATGCAGCAGAAGCGCCTCACCAACGCACAGCGCTCCGGTCTCAGCCAGATCCCCAACCGCCGCTTCACCCTCTGGTGGTCCCCCACCCTCAACCGATCCAGCGTCTACATCGGCTTCCAGGTCCAGCTCGACCTCTGCGGCGTCCTCATGTCCGGCAAGATGCCCTCGCTCAAGATCTCCTACATCCAGCTCTTCCGCGCCCACCTCTGGCAAAAGATCCACGAGTCCGTCGTCATGGACCTCTGCCAGGTGTTTGACCAGGAACTCGAGGCCCTCTCCATCGAGACCGTCCAGAAGGAGACCATCCACCCGCGCAAGTCCTACCGCATGACCGCATCCTCGTCCGACATCCTCCTCTTTGCCAGCTACAAGTGGCCAATGTCCCGCCCATCCCTCCTCACCGACGCCCGCGACGTCCTCGACGGTTCCTCCGGCAACAAGTGGTGGATCGACGTCCAGCTCCGTTGGGGCGACTACGACTCCCACGACATCGAACGTTACTGCCGCGCAAAGTTCCTCGACTACACCTCCGACAACACCTCCATCTATCCATCCGCCACCGGCTCCCTCATCGGCATCGACCTCGCCTACAACATCCACTCCGCCTACGGCATCTGGTTCCCCGGCTCAAAACCCCTCATCCAACAGGCCATGGCAAAGATCATGAAGGCAAACCCCGCCCTCCACGTCCTCAGGGAAAGGGTGCGAAAGAGCTTGCAGCTCTATTCTTCTGCTCCCACGGAGGCTCACCTATCGTCGAGCAACTACTCGTCGCTCTTCGAGTCGTCGACGTTTTGCGTTGACGACGGATCCGTTCACCGGGTGATCGTCAAGCGGTCGTTCGTGAGTAAAAAGAGGTGTATGATGCGACGGAGAGGCGTCGAGATGGTGGTAGCAGCGGCGCGAGGTGGTACTGACGCGCCTCTGTTTTTTTTTCTTCTTCTCTCACCTCTTCTCTTTCCCTCTCGCCTCTTCCTCTTCTTCCCCTCCTTCGTCTCTTTCTTCTCTTCCGCTCTCTTCGGCCGGCGAAGGAAGGGAACTTGGTGACCAAGGTTTGTCCGACTGGCTCGCTCGTGCTCGCTCCTGGTCGTTTTTCCTTGGCTGTTCGCTCGCTCATCCTCTCCTCTTCCTCTTCGTCTCTTTCTGCACACAGCCCATCAACGGAGCGCTTCTCATCCTCAACCCGATTTCCGGCCAGCTCTATTGCAAGATAGTACATACGTCCGTTTGGGCAGGTCAAAAGCGCCTCGGACAGCTCGCAAGATGGAAGAGTGCGGAGGAGGTCGCCGCGCTGGTGCGGTCTTTGCCGATCGAGGAGGTACGTACAGGCGATACGGAGCTGCTTCTCACGATCCGGAGCTGCGTCTAGACGATCCGGAGCTGCGTCTAGACGATCCGGAGCTGCGTCTAGACGATCCGGAGCTGCCATCGGGAGCTGAGTCCGGGATGGAGCGGAGTGGCTGCGCGCGTCGCGGCGGCGATGGGATGCGCCCTTCCCGGCCGGAAGAGCGCGTCCCGCCGCCCGCTAGCACGAGGGCCGGATGCCGCGAGCTGGACTGGGCCGCCCAGGGCTGGGCTCGGCCGAGCTGGGCTGGGCCGACCAGGGCTGGAGCTGGGCTGGACACGCGTGCCGTGGTCGGCGCCTCGCCAGCGGGCTGGCTACAGAGGCGTGT